TTTTCTGATCAAAATTTGTCCGTTGTCTGTTGTTGTTGTCGTCGTCGTTGTCGTCGTAGTCGTCATCGTCGTTGTAAACTTTTCACATTTTCGACTTCTTCTCAAGAACCACTGGGCCAATTTCAATCAAACTTGGCACAAAGTATCCTTAGGTAAAGGGGATTCAAGTTTGTTCAAATGAAGGGCCACGCCCTTATTCAAGGGGAGATAATTAAGAAATAATGAAAATTTGATGGTATGTTTTAAAAATCTTCTTCTCAAGAACCACTGTGCCAGGAAAAATGAAACTTATAGGGAAGCATCCTTATGCAGTGTAGATTCAAGTTTGTTCAACTAATGACCCCTGGGGGTAGGGCGGGGCCAAAATGGCCGATCAAAGTTTTACATAGAAATATAAAGGAAAATTCTTTAAAAATCTTCTCAAGAAACACTGTGCCAGGAAAGATGAAACTTATAGAGAAGCATCCTCAGGTAGTGTAGATTCAAGTTTGTTTAACTCATGACCCCTGGGGGTAGGGCGGGTCCAAAATGGCCGATCAAAGTTTTACATAGAAATATAAAGGAAAATTCTTTAAAAATCTTCTTCTCAAGAACCACTGTGCCAGGAAAGATGAAACTTATAGGGAAGCATCCTCAGGTAGTGTAGATTCAAGTTTGTTTAACTCATGACCCCTGGGGGTAGGGCGGGGCCAAAATGGCCGATCAAAGTTTTACATAGAAATATATAGGAAAAATCTTTAAAAATCTTCTTCTCAAGAACCACTGTGCCAGGAAAAATGAAACTTATAGGGAAGCATCCTCAACTAGTGTAAATTCAAGTTTGTTCAAATCATGATCCCTGGGGGTAGGGTGGGGCCAAAATGGCCGATCAAAGTTTTACATAGAAATATATAGGAAAATTCTTTAAAAATCTTCTCTTCAAGAACCACTGTGCCAGGAAAGATGAAACTTATAGGGAAGCATCCCCAGGTAGTGTAGATTCAATTTTGTTCAAATCATGACCCCTGGGGATTGGGCGAGGCCACAATGGCCGATCCAAGTGTTACATAGAAATATATAGGAAAATTCTTTAAAAATCTTCTTCTCAAGAATAGCAAAGGCATGAATGATCATATTTTTATGGAAGCATCCTCAGGTAGTGGACATTCATTTTTTGTTCAAATCATGACCCCTGGGGGTTGGGCGGGGCAACAACATGGAATCCAAATTTTACACAGAAACATGTAGAAAAAAATCTTTAAAATTCTTTTCAAGAATAGCAAAGCCATGATTAGTCCTGTTCATATGGAAGCATTCTTGGGTGGTGTAGATTCAATTTTGTTCAAGTCATGACCCCTTGGGGTATAGGGCGGGGCCACGATGTAAGTTCAAATGTGAAGGGCAATAAAGCCACAGGTACATGTAATCAAAGAAATATGCATGCATCCTTAGTTAGTAAAGATTCAAGTTTGTTCAAATCATACCATCTCCCTTTTAAGGATTGGTTTAGACCACTACTGGGTTTAAACTTTTCAACCATAAACTGATTTCTGCTTTTTTCCTATCCATATTGCTCAGGTGAGCGATGTGGCCCATGGGCCTCTTGTTTTGTGATTGATACTGGTTCCCATATTTATTTTCTATACAGAAAATTAAAATTGAATTAATTATATTTCACCAGAATTAGTTTTAAATAGATCTAATCATTATAGATCATGGCCGATTTCAATACTATCGGGACTCTAAAGGCATTTTTTTTTTAAGTATTAGGGCTTTTGAAAAATTCGTTGCTAATTTTGCCAAGTAATATTTTTCAGTATTGATTATTCTTTACTGACATGTTAATTTAAAAATTATTGTTTTATTTGTAAATTGTATTAGTGACCAGTATAGAATCCTAAGATTATGTTCAACATTAATTAATCTTGAAAGAAATTTATACACATTTCATTTATCTTTTTTTTTGCATTACATTTTTAGATAGATTGAAATTAGGGTTATTGTTAATTGAGCAGCGTGTTCAATGATGTGTAACACTGATACGTGTACCCAAATAACATGCATGATTGATTTTCTGCCCAAAGGCTATTGAAACCGCAGGTGTTTATACCATTTTTATACACATTATCGGCCAGCTGGTAAACAAAAGCAAAACAAAAAGAAATAAATAGCAATTCCCGGTATTTTCAACTGTTTATTTATTTATCTTTTTTTTAAATTTAATTTTTTAATAACTTATTTATGAATTAAAAACTAATTCATCTGTAAATTCCCGTATAATTGTTCACATTGCTTATGTTACGGAAGAATGGTGGCATAATTTTATTTCATGTCATAAAATAAATTGTTAGATTTTTATTTGAGGGTTGCATGGAATACTCTTTTAGCGTGGTGCTTGTAAAACGTGTAGCCTTTTCAATTAAAATATCTTATATCTAAATGTAATGATTTTTTAAATAGTGCCAAATGCAAAGAAGTTTGAGTATATAATTTTAGATTTAATAATAAAATAAATCTACATGTAGATATTTTTTTCTCATGAGCCTGAAATTTTATATATTTTAGAAATAAAAATCTCCTGACTTCCTCATTTAACAACTTTAATTTATAAAAATATTCTATATTACATTTGTGTAAATATACGAGGGTTGTCCGTAAAGTTCGTAGACAACATTGATAATTAAGGACAAACATTGACAAAATATTTGAAACTATTATTTTTATTAAATTCATGCTTCATTTTATAAATATGCAAGTTTTCAACAAAGACAAAGCACAAATAGTTATAATTTTATCAGATACAAAAAAGACACACACTCATACCCGGAGCACTAAAACGAAAATTCTTGACGTTACCGACGTCAAAAGCTAAACACGAGCAGTAGTAACTTTTCTCAACATAATCAGCGTTTAACTCGATACATTTCTTATGTCGTTTTGACCAGTCATAAAATTATGCACAAAATGTTCAGGTTTCATTCTTAAAATAATATTTAACAATGCCTATCTCATATCCTGCTATCATCCAACCACTATCCGTGTAAAGACGATTTCATTTACGGAAATACGGCATGATTACATTAGAAATTCATATTTCACAGCACTGCAATCTCGGAATAATAGTTTTCCTTCACGCATTTCCTCCTGTAAACTGTTCATTCCGTTCGAAAATATTATTATGATACTTAAAACTAGTGAACGACTTCTTTTACTATGTTTACCCGATTGCTTACAGAATGTATTGGTCTCTTTAGGGTCTTTCCGGTGTAAACGCAGAATTTTATCACTGTTCACTGCTCCACCTATTCCGAAAACGTCTCTTTTTTGAACGATTCCGATCCTGTCTTAATAAGTTCTAACGCTGATTGCTCAGCCATTTTGAAACTTTGAACGTTCAAATTTTGCAGGTTTGACGTGATAACTTCTGTCAACCTCATAATGTAAAATTCTTGCAGATTTCCCAAGAATTTTTTAAAATACAAATGAAATTTAAAAAGTGATAAATATTTTTTTAATTGAAATTTTGCGTTGCTCCGGGTTTCCATTCCAAGTCTAATTATGAAGCCATAATTGTAATTAAACATTTGAAATTGAATAAAATTTTACATTATTCAATTCACATTAAGTAAAGGATTAGAAATATGCCAATAATAAATATCAATGACTCAACTTTTGTTAAATTTTTGGCTTGTCCACGAACTTTACGGACAACCCTCGTACAGTCACTAAAACTATAAATTAGTTATAATACACGTAATCTCAAGTATTAAAAGATTATAAGAAATCCTTGCTTATTAAACAGTTTAAACTCCTCTCTGCTGCAAGTAAACAAAACAACAGGGAGCCTGCAAATTCAGAATACACAAGGGGGCGGAGCTATCATGTCACTCAGAACCTTTGTCACACATGAGTGAACAAAGCAATCCCAGAAAGCAGTCCCAGGGGCAGCTGGGACTGCTGGGACTGCTTTTCATAGCAGTCCCATAGCGGTCCCAGAGCAGTCCCAGAGCGGTCCCAAAGCAGTCCCGGGGACTGCTTTCTGGGACTGCTTTTGGTGTCAGGTTGGGTCTGGTCGGTATTGTATGTAATTCTACAATTCTTTTGCAAATGGGTCTTGTAAATGGAAAAAATAATACCGTATTATTAGTCATTTATTTTTTACAAACTTTAAAGTTTATGAATAATGATAATGAATCAATGCTATAATCGTTCTCATGAAATATTTTTATAAGACGAGGACTAGTTGTTTCAAAAGCCGTATTTGGACGAGGAACAGGCATAATTCATTTAAATGACGTTCAGTGTAGTGGAAAGGAAACTGGACTTTCTAACTGTACATACTCAGAAACAAATAGCTGCAGTCATTCTGAAGATGCTGCTGCTATGTGTATTCTACCAAGTCGTGAGTAAATTCTTTTTATACATTAAGAGCATTGAAAAGACTTTCAAAAATGTATCAGATGTGACGATTTTATAGAATTTTTCATTCAAATCATACAATAGAATCCTTCCGATTGCGTAAGGGAAGATCTGCAAACAAGGCTTTGTAGAGGTGTCGGTCAACGGTGTATGGGGAGCTGTGTGTGATACAGACTGGTATGATCAAAATGCTAAAGTTGCCTGTCGATCTCTAGGATACTCTGGGTAATTATTTATTCAATAAATCAAACAAAGCCAAAATCACTTTTCTAAGGAAGCTCAATGAATATAAGACTTGATTGATGATATAAGTTTACACATTTTTTTATTTGATTGTGAAAGGCGCATAAAAAAGTAATAGAGCTGTATAAGGGATCAATTTATTAAAAGAGATAATGAAATTTTTAAAGTTGTTTCGGAAATATTCAAATGAAACAGTTCAACATGAACTAAAAGAACTACAAGAGTATATTGGATAATAAATAATTTTTTTTTTGACAAAAGAAAAACAGTGAAATAGTTGTTGTTGTAATGTTTTCAAAACTTATGTTGAATTTGAAGCGTTATAAACAAACACTTTTAGAGGTATGGCTATCACTTCAGTGTTTGGAATAGGAAATGCAAAAGTATGGTTGGACGGCGTTAATTGTAGAGGACATGAGGATTCCTTGTTAGAGTGTACACAATTAGTTGTGGGATCCAGCACCTGTAGTGATAGTAGAAACGCCGCAGTCGTTTGATATAACACAGGGAATGGTGGGTGACGATGCATATTGTAAATCATACCTTTTTAATATTTGATATTTATCTGTATTTTATTAATATTCTTTGGTCATCTAGATGTTGTCAGATTGGTTAATGGTAGTTCTGAACATGAAGGCAGGGTTGAAGTATCGATAGACGGTCAGTGGAGAAGTGTTTGCGTATCATCATCATATAAAAAAAAATACGCTGATGTGACTTGCAGAAGTCTTGGCAATTCAGGGTGATTATATTAAATTGTCAGTAATTTTTTCGATCCAAAATGAACATTCACTTCATTTATTATCATTCAAATTAATTGAAAAGTTGAATGTGTGCACTGAATTTGATATGATATGTTTCTAAATTCGTAATTTCTAAATGAAAATTTTGAATATGTTCATATTCCTTCTAATTGAGTTCAATGGATTCGATACATTTTGAAAAAAAAGAAACGAAACGCCTTTGCACACCGACATTATGACATTGGATTTAAGTATTTTTCTTTTATATTATAATTTGAAGGGGGTTTCCTGTATCATTAAATGCATTCGGAAAAGGCAATGGACAAGTATGGTTGAACAACATTGCTTGTAACGGAAATGAAGATTCCTTGCTCTCATGTTCGCATACAGTCATTGAATCCAGCAATTTCAAGTGTACTTACAGTGGAGAGGTCGATGTCATTTGTTACAATATAGAAAATGGTGGGTTACAGTTCCTTTTGGACTTTCGCGAGGAGCACTGACTTTTACACTTGACGGCTTTCTTTTCCAGAAGGACAGAGCACGGAAGATCTTTTACGATAAAAATATTTAGCTCAACATTTAATTCAACGAAAACAACGAGTTCTTTCATAGCACAGATAAATTGTTCTTGAAAAAAAATGACAAAAATGCCACCCTCAACTCACGGACGTTACATGTTAGGGTCTTAAACATAATTTTTTGACCATTAGAAAGGTGTTCTTATCTATTATCAGTTCTGTAATCCCGTACATGATAGATGTTTAAATGTCAAATTATTCCGTCAACTGTAAAAGTCAGTGCTTCTCGCAAAAGTCCGCTCATTCTTCTTTCATGTTAAGCTCACCCGAGCCGAGAGCTCAAGTTAGCTTTTCTGATCATATTTTGTCCATCGTCCGTCGGTCCGCCTGTCTGTCCGTCTCTACACTTTTCACATAAGTTCTTCTCAGGGAGCACTGGGCTAATTTTAACCAAACGTGTTGCAAAGCATCCTTGAGTAAAGTGGAGTTTAAATTGGAAAAATGAAGTTCCTTCATATGGGGGTCAATAAAGAGGAGAAAAAAAATAGGGTGGGGTCATTAAAAACGTCTTCTCAAGAACCACAGGGCAAAAAAAGCTGGGACTTATGTGGAAGCATCCTGAGATAGTGTGAAACTCTATATTGTTCAAATCATCACCCCAGGAGTTAGGCAATGTCACAAAAGGGAATTGTAACATAGAAATATATAGGAAAAAACTTTATTTTTACAATTAATTTGGAGACTGAAAGAGTTTGAAAGAATCCCAATCTTCACAATAACATATATTCCTCAAAGCGTTAAAATATAAGCACACAGGGTAGAAGTACGT